TCGACTAGAGTACCAATATTTTTGTAGAATAAAATAAACGAGACGATGTTTTTATTTTTATAGAAATTAACTCTTGTTTTAACTAATTTAGTTTTACATTCTACCTCGTAGATTTTGACATATGGTTGTAATAAATAGATAAAATTAATTTTATATTATTTAAAATAGTAATAATAACAAATGAAAGTTATATATCATTGAATCTTCTATAAATGAATCAATTTCTATTTCTACTTTTAATATTTATATATCTTCCTTTGTAATCTAAACGATCAATGTACATTGTTCTCATTTCGAACTACTTTACTTTTTGATTATCTTTCTTTATTTGAACTTTTCTATTAGTAGATACTTTATCATTTTTTTATTTCTTTGACTCAACAAAAAGCTTTGTACCTCGGTCTGTTTTTATCAGTTATATACTTGAAAAAGAAATTTTAATGTTTGTAATTCATTGTTCATTGCATTATTCTTTTATATTCGAGATCTCGTTTAATGTTTTATCTCATCAAAAATAATGATCATTGCAGAATATTTAAACTTTAGACATACGCTATACGAGATTCTTCATAGATAGTATCATGGCTTCTCCTTTTGGCGATGGTTTCCATATTGAAATAACTCATAATGATAATGATGAATCTGAATTCGATATCAAAGAATTATATACCAGAGAAAAAACTTTGCAATTACGTAATATTTATATTCCGTAAGATTATATTTCTTTTTTCTTCGAAATAAACTTCTTTTTATTAATAGAAATTGTATCGAACTTTTTTATCGTCATAGTCCATTGAAAATTGTTCGTTGTCAAGGAACATATATGTATGATCAATTAGGAAATAGATATTTAGATTGTATTAATAATGTTGCACATGGTATCTATTATTATTATTATTTGTATCAATATAATTCTTTTATTTTTTTTATTTTTTTAGTTGGTCATTGTCATTCATATGTTAATAAACAAATTTATAGACAAATGGGTGCATGTGCAACAAATACTCGTTATTTACATGATAATACAGTTATTCTTGCTGAAAAACTTTCAAAAACATTACCAGAAAGTCTTCAACAAATATTTTATACAAATTCAGCGTAAAATAAAAGTTAATTTCTCATTTTATGAATAAGTTTAATGTATATTTTAGATCTGAAGCAAATGATTTAGCAATTCGTTTAGGTAGAGGATTTACAGGAAACTATGATATTCTTGTACTTGACAAGTATATAAAGAAGAATGATTAATAAAGAAAATAAGTTTATATATGTTTAGTGCCTATCATGGTCATATATCAACTCTTGTTGAATTATCTACATATAAGTTTAAAAAGATGAAAAAGCCTACGAAAATACCAGAACATGTTCATATTGTGAGTACAATGATTGAATTTATCCATAGTTGACTAAGAAAACATAACACGTGTATCTTATATTTAATTTTAGATTCCGACACCTGCTGTTTATCGAGGAAAATATCGTGATATTGATTATAATTATGATGAAGTTAAATTATGTGAACTATATGTTGATGAAGCACGTCGAGTCGTTGAAGAAGCAGAAGCACGTGGACGTCGTATAGCATTGTTTTTTATTGAAACATTACAATCATGTGCTGGACAGATTATTTATCCAAAAGGATATCTTAAACAATTATTTGAGTAAATATAAAGATATTTTTCTCAATTTATTTTAATCTTCATATAATCTATAGTTATCTTCAGTCGAAAGGTATTTTATGTGTTGCTGATGAAGTTCAAACAGGATTTGGTCGAAGTGGTACTCATTTTTGGGCATATGATTCTTATCAAGAAGGTTATTTTAGAAAAAAAATAGATTCTAAATTTTACATTGTAGTTATTTTTTTAATTAGGTGTTATTCCTGATTTTGTAACATTGGGTAAATCGATGGGTAATGGATTTCCAGTTGCTGCATTAATAACTCGTAAAGATATAACACAAGAATTTGAAAGTAATGGTATTGAATATTTTAATACATATGGTGGAAATCCAGTTAGTTGTCGAGCTGCAATTGCTGTTCTTGATGTTATTGAAAATGAACATTTACAAGAAAATGCGCATAAAGTTAGTATTCATTTTCTAACAAAACTAAAAGAATTACAAAAACAATATGATATTATTGGTGATGTACGTGGTCGAGGATTTTTTCTTGGTATTGAATTTGTACGTGATCGAAAAACACGTGAACCTGCAACTATAGAAACAAAAGAAATTCAACTGATGTATGTTTTTATTTTAAAATAAGAAATATATTTGTTATAATCGTATGATTTTTTTTGTAAGGCTTCTTGAAAATTTTATAATCATTTCAACTGATGGTCCCGATCATAATGTACTCAAATTTAAATCGTAAATATGGAATGAAATATTTTTTTGAATGATGATTTACGAGAATTTGTTGCTTTTGTTTTAGACCAATGTGTTTTGGAATGGTGGATGCTGATTATTTTTGTGAGAAATTAGAAATAGTTCTCAATGCAATGAAAACAAAAACAAATCAGAATTTTTGAACTTTTTTCGTTCTTTTTATGTTTTTATTTCATGATCGTGCAATAAACTGATAAAAATTACAGCGATTTTTACAAATTCTGAATTTGATTGTTGAATTTTAAAGACTACAATACTTTCGACCTTCTCATGTATCGAATGTAAATACATGAGAAACGGTTTAAAATATTTTTTTTCACCTGTATACTACTTCTATGCATAATAATATATTTAAATAAAAGTATATTTTTGAATAAAAAAAAGTCTCATACATGAAACACGTGCTAATGGGTAATAGATAATAAAAGTAACAACACGATAGTCATATAAGGTGTCGTCAAATTGATCTTGATACTATTTATTTGCCAAATGGTATCGTTTCTAGTATATTTTTAACTACACAACAAAACTTTCAATTTCATTCAATAACCTATATCTTCTTTCAAATATATCTTATTCAATTAATTTGTAGTTTATAAAAAATTTATCCTTATATTAAAATCGATCAACTTTCACTTTTAACATCATTATTTTTTCTGATTCAATAAATAATCAATACTAAAATAAATCGCGTAGTCTTTAAATATGGTGATGTTATTCAAATCTATTATGAACTTCAAAATTCATTGAAAGAATATATATTCAAAAGATTGATATTAGTTTAGGAATTTATTAATTTATAGAATAGTATTGGAAAATAATATGTTATCTAAACATAAATTAATCCGACATCATGCGTTATTAAATATTCCAAATAAAACTTTATTACCGGCATTATTTAAATATAAATATCATCAAAAAGATAATCGTTCATTTTTTAATTTATCAATTGATTATAAAATTCAATTTATAATTAATCTTCGAAATCCAGACGATTTATGGCAAATACATATTCTTATTATTATATATAATGATTTTTTCAGACAAACTGAAATTAAAATAACTGATAGTTTAGAAGAATTTTGAATTAAATATTATATTGTTTGAGTAAATAATAAAATAATTAAACTAAAGTTTTATAATGAAGAGAATTGAGAAATCTGACAAGTTATTTTTATTCCAGAGACTAAGAACGTTTGTACTGCGTACTATCGATGCTGATGTGTTTCGCAGCGAATAGAATAGATCTCATAAAAGCATAGAAACAATCTTGAAAATATATTCTAAACTTTGTTGAGATGCTTATGATAAATGATTATTCAAATCTAGTTATAGACCACGTCTCCTGACTGAGAGTGTGGGTGTAGCGTGTGGAAGTGGAGAGAGCTGTGGGTATGCGTCTTTTCTCTTTATTTCACTCACATTCACTCCACGTTTTACTTCTTTTATTTAGTTTCGTGTTGTTTCATTGTCTCAGACTATAGTCTCTGTAAAACTTTGTTACTTTCTTCTCGCAGCATCCGAAGATGAAATGACTATCCAATAAACTATATTTCTTTAAGTTCCGTCTGATATTTTCGGATTTTCATACTTTCACTATCCTCTTGTCTTTATTGTTCTAATTTTGTATATTCATTTTTAAATACCAGTGA